CCGGCTAAACTATCAACTAGGGAATCACGGAAAGATGTTTACCCTTCAAGGTTTCGAATTCAGCTTTCATGCGCTGGTGCGAGAAATTTTTAACTATTTTCCGATGTTTGAACTATTTTTGCATAGACAAAAGTACAAAGCAGTGAAAGTCATTAACAGGCAATCGTTCGATGGGCTGAATTGCACAGAATGCATGATCGCACCGGCTAGTCTGGTGCGCGTTGCTATTTATTTTTTTTTAAATTTTGTATGCACTTACTTTTGGTGCATGTGATGGTGAAGTAATTTCAGGGCTATGGAGTTGGCAGCGCGACACGCACAACTCTCAAAGAACGCCTCTTGGGACCGACTACCGGCAAACGTAATTTCCTTTCCCTCATCCGCACCTTCTTCCAGCGCTCAGTTGATGTCCAGCTCGTAAATCTCTGTAATTTTTCATCATTGCAGCATTTGCTTATGGGGCAGCAGCGGTAGCGGGGGCATCTTTGCTTGGCATTGGCGCATTATGCTACTATGGATTGGGGCTGTCGAAACAGGGTCAGAGCATCATGGTACAGTCAGGGTACGCTCATCATCCGTTTTCTTTTTGTCATAACAAGCAACAGGTTTTCGGACTATTTGTGGGTTCTGTTCCGGACAGTCATCGTTTTTTTTTTTTTTCTGTAAACACCTAGAACCAGTCGATATGCACAAATACTGTACAAAAAATATTTAGAACATGGCCAAAATATGTGCGTGATCGCATCAAATCAACTTATGGATATCTGTTCGGCTCTCTTGGTATAACGGCAGCTTCTGCGGTGGCAGCAGCGAGGTCGTTCCAGATTTCGCGTTTGATCATGGGAGTAAGCTGCTTAACTCTTCCCCTGCCTTCCATACGGGCCTACGAAACATTTTTGAAGATCGTTCTAGACGGATAAAGAGTGGATTGATTATTGCATCGGCTAGTAGCCCGACAATCGATGGCTAGTAAATTTACGCTTTGTAATTTAGTCGCCGTTCATTTCGATGGCTGTGGTAATGGCGAGCAGTATAGCAGTGACGTTGATCGACTATGACAGTACGCTGCTGAAGCACGCAGCCTGGGCGCTCCATGCTGCCATGATGGGCGCTTTCATCGGGCCAATCTGTCTTATGGCAGGGCCATTGGCTATCCGAGCCGCGTGGTATACGGCAGCCATCACTGCTGGTAATTTTTTACGCATTTTGTGCTATGTAACAGCAGTACAAAACGTATATTATCACGGGGTTGACTGTTTGTGTGTGTCTCCGCAGCAAATTTTCCGCAACTTTAAACTCGGGAACCACAAA